CTGCCGGACCTGAGACTCGAACCCGCAACCTTTGGGTTACGAGTCCGACTCTCTAACCATTAGGCCACGACTTCCCAATCTTCCGACTTCCCTAATCCCGACTAAAGAGCCCAATCTAAAAAAAATGATAAAATTTAGTAATGCCTGCTAGGGAAAGTCCACAAATAATAAAACCCAGAATATTATAGCAACAGCAAAGTGACATCCAACAGATTTCAGATTTTTACTGTAATCTGGCATATAGCCACATAAAAAAATAGCATACTAAAAATTATTACATTGATATTTATCATTAAACATGGCTTCTTTCAAACTATATAATGTATATATGTGACCACAAAACCAGTTGACCCTCTAACTCTAGCACTTTCTATTCTATTTTAATTCTATTCCAGATTTTCAAATAGTTGTATCTCGGCCAAATATTGTTCTTTCCTAACAAACCATACATCAATGGAAAGCTTATTTATTCCGCTTTCAGAAATCTCAATTTCAAAAAAATTGGTTTTGTGGTCCAGGGTCACATAATATAATACATAAAAGTGTTTCCAATTTTAGCAACAGCTAGAACATTTCCAGGTATAATGTTCCTCTGTGAAAGCTACATTCATAAACACTTGTGCTGAAAATAAATGACATATGGTCCAAAGCATTACTTATTTGTTGACAATTTTCAAACCATTCTAACTGATGCTTGCAAGACTATTACAAATAACTCTCACAATGCCTAGATGGCCCTGAGGCATTAACCATTCTTATTCTTGAGTTCTGCATTAAAAACCACTCAGAACCCATTAAAGGGGTCATATGATGCTATTTTAAAGATCATTATTTTGTGTATTTGGTGTAACAGAATATGTTGACATGCTTTAATGTTAAAAAAAACACATTATTTTTCAAATACTGTACATTATTGTAGGTCCTTATGCCTGCCTCTCTCAAACACGTCGTTTTCAACAAAGCCCCCTCCTTTCGACAAGCGCAGTCTGCTCTGATTGGCCAGCTGACCCAGTGCATTGTGATTGGCCGAACACCGCAAGCACTCGTCGGAAATGTAACGCCCCTTACCATAATCGCGAGCGTCAGCTTTCAAAGTAAATATCAAGACAGTTAATAATGTCGTTAGTTTTACCATCAGTTCAAGCCCGAAAGGGCAACATCTTCTTTATGCACCAAGAGCTTGTAACACTCCAAAGAGAAGGAAAAAGTTAAATCGCATCATATGACCCCTTTAAGCAGCAACAGTGATCTTAGCACAAGCAATCACCATGTTGAAAATCCTTGTTTAATAAACACAGGACAGTGACTGACTGAATTAATTTGTTATAAATATAAAATGTAACATATAGGGCTGCAACAACTAATCGATCAAATCGATTATGATCGATTATGAAAATCATCGACAACGATTCTCATTATCGATTAATCGGGTCTGCCCACAGTGCACGTCCAACGGAGTTTACATACTTGTCCAACTCCAGCCGGTCGCGTCAAATTAAAGCACTGAATTACTTATTTCTATGGACAAAATGCATCTAAAATAGTGGAGGAAACAGAATGAGATGCTGCAGGAGAGTTACGTGATCCAAGCTACCCAAAACATGAGAATTCTTTATTTTAAGCTTTAAGCTAATGCATTAGCGTAATGGCTTGCCCTGTCAGGCGCTTTAACAGATGCGTGTGCGTCCTCAGCGCAAAAAAAACCTTTCAGTTAACGGTCATATCCTTATGTATAAATGTCACAAATTCACGCGAGCATTTCCACCAACTAATCGATTATCAAAATAATCGTTAGTTGCAGCCCTATATACTGTAGATACATAAGCTGTAGACAAAATAGCTTTAGAAAATAAGGATTGTTTGTTTGGTAAAGGCCAAAATATATCAAGATTCTTGTATTTCATACAGTTTAGAAACTGCCTGGCCATTAACATCACAGCATTACTAAAGAGCCAGAAAAGCTTAAATTGTATGCAGCTGATAACAGCTATCTCACTTCTACACATAAAAAGAATTTAGACTCTGAAATACACTGCACATTTCTAAATTCTCTCTAAAGTTAGTGGTAAAATTGTAACTGAAAGGTCAGGTGTTACTCTTAAAATGACTGTTGTCCAAATAAGACAATACACTTAAATAGTCAAAACTGCATCAGTGAGACAAAGTGATTTTCTTGTTAACACTTTTTATTGCTGCACTCTCTACACTACAGAACCACTTGCTTGGTATTTTAAAGTGTAGATCAAGAACAATGTTGACCACTAATTCATTCAGTTAAACACCGATATTCATTTAGAAGGCAGAGACAGCAGCTGGGATCACTATAAACAACACTAAAGATTTTTGGCTGTTCTTTCAAGGAAAGGCTGCAAAATTTGTTCAGCAGATATGCCAGTTAGCACTGACAGATTAATTCGTGATATTTAATGACTTGAAGATCATGCAATCCATTCATCTATGACACATGAGAACAGGTTTGCCTACGCAGGAATGAGAGGCACATTACATCCTGACACCCGAAATAAAAACTGCAAACCTGCAATGCTCATGTGTACACCAACAACAGTAAACAAGCTGTCAGTGTAGAACCGTTATGATTAACTTACTCAACTGGTCTAACTAACGTTACCACATAATGGACAGTTAACGTTCCGTCTGCTCTAATTCTACTAGAGATTCAGTAATATATGTCACATACACATAACGTTAGCAGTCAGAGAGCATCGTGCATAAATATATATACAACCGTAGTGAATCTAATGCGCCACAATAGAAACAGAAAGGGATTAATTAGCTCAATATTGTAGCTAACGACAAGCTAACAGGCTAGCTAGCTACCAAGCCTAATGTACCTCTCTCATACACACTAATGTTTCTACGGAGAAATTATGATAATTTTCAATTATAGTAAACCCATTCATATTTTTCAGTTTAAGAAATATACGTAAATCAGGCTAGATGCGAGTTGAAACGAAGAACACAGTGCGCAAACACACGGTCAGTGTGCTGTACTTAGTCTCACTGTACTCACAATGTACTCGCGCACTTGGCTGTGGAAATTCTGCTCTCTAATCGTCACATCGTCTTCTTCCATTCTTCATATTGCAGAAACACATTCATTAGCAACGCATTTTTGTGGCGATTCCATTCACTGTAAGAGAAAGCGCCTCTGTAAAACAAACAGACTACCGGAGTAGAGCTCGACTCGACTGACTGACAGCGCTTGCGTCTCAGCACCAAATAAACGACCAAAACAGTCAAAATATATTGCGTCATCATTCAGCGACACGCGACAGGACGACAGGTTCACGCACACAGGCGAGCTGTCACTGAGAATAAAGTAGATTTATAATGTAAGATTTACATAATTCTAAATATTTTCAGCGTTGTTTTGGACAGGTCTGACGTGTCCTGACGTAGCTGAAACGTTATACTGAGAGTGCATATAACAGCATATTTTGCCAAACATAGAAATATATAAATATATTTTTGGCCATGTACATACATATTTTTTGGTCAAGCAAGGAAGCTTACACAATGCACATATTAGCACTAATTAAGACCTGTATCCTGTACACAGTACTACTACTTCCACTACCAATAATAACCCATCCATAAATATACCTATCTGTCCAGCCAATAATAATAATAAATTATTATTATTATTATTGTAAAAATAGATCATTAAATTTTTTGCTAAGCGTCAAAGAGTATATCAGGCTATGTGCAGATCTCTTGGGATTAGGCTACTTGTGTCTCCAAGTAGTTTAAAATATATATAGGCCTATATATTAGAAACAAAACCTTTATGCTTATATGTACTCTATATGTATAGGCACATATACTTATTTATTATTATCTTATTTCATTGCAACAAGTACGCTCCGACTCAGTAGATGGCGATAAAGTCACAATTTTTTTTTCTCTACTGTCATAACGTCTAACGAAGAAACAACATCAATGGCGGCCTCCAGCTTCTGCATGTGTTATCTGTTCTGGTAACTCTTTCATGGGATAATTTGCGATATTCAGTCTGTAAACACGCAACCATTTACAATAAATAAAGATTATATGCACAGCCAGATATATTTCATTTAAAAATGAAGGCAAAGGCGCAGCGCAAGAGCAATGGGAAAGCTGGAAAGCAAACACACAGGGATAAACTTCAGAAATTCAGGGATTCAGTTAATAACTTTGTGAAGAGCAAAGGCGGCTTCGGTGAAAATGAAAGCGACCAAAGAGGAATATTCGTAAAGAGGAAAAGTAGAAAAGAGCTGCGCAAAGAGAAACGTAAGTTAAAGAAAGCCAAAAAGAAAAGCCACTACACGGGTCAGTCACTCCCGAACCCCAGCGAGGAACCTGCTCCAAATACTCCTGCTGAGGAGGAAAAGACACAGAAACCAGCCCTAAAGCCGACTGGAAATCTTAAAAATGCCGCTCAGAGACAGCAGAAGACAAATACAGACAACGTTCATATTAAAGATGGTGAAGAAGAGACGACAAAAAGGAAGGTCCACTTCTCCGAAGATCTGCCAAAACAGAGAAAGAAATCTAGCCTGAACGAGAGCAGAAAGCGGGTTCTATTAGAGGCGAATATCGAAGAGGACAAAGTAATAAAGAGACTAGAGAAACGCCTTGGACTGAATAAAAGAAAGAATAAAAAGAGTCTACCTCAGTCATTCACCAACGATGGACTCGATTACATTTTAGGGATTCTTGAGCCTGGAGCATCTGCAACGGGCCTGTATGAGAGTGATGAAGAAATGGACATTGACAAAGCTAAAGATGACTTTGACGAGTTGGACGAGGATAGCGATGGGAAAGTGACAGATGATGAGAACAAGGATGACAGTGAGGATGAAGATGACACTGACGAAGAGGAAGGAGATGGAGAGGATGACACACAGATGGAAGAAGAGGAGGATGTAGAAGATGACACCCAGATAGAAGATGAGGAAGATACAGATGCATCAGAGGAAAATGATGATGAGGAGGAGAAAGACTCTCAACAAAAAACACCTGAAAGCCAGAAGCCCGTATGTCAAATCTGGATAATAATTATTATTATTTAGGTTTAAATCTCCCTCTACCTAATGCTCAATTCAAGTCACATTTATTTCTACAGTACAGATTGTTTCAAAGCAGTAATAAGCAGGAAATTGTGTTAATGTTGCAAAATTAATCAATTATGGAACAAATTCATTTTCAGTTGTAAAGCATTTCAACAGAAGACAGTAATGTCATTATTCAGCTCAATAGTAGTGTCAGTGTTGCGAAGTTCATCAGTCATGAAGCAAGCTTAATTCAACTATAAAGCAGCTCTACGTACGACAATAGTGTTATATTCAGTGTCATGGAGTCAGTATTGGTAATTACTCTTTTTTTCCATATTGCATGCTCATCAGAAGAATGGTTTGAAGCTAATTGTGGTTTCTTCTTTTTATAGAATCCTGCCACAGCAGGCAGGTATGTTCCACCTCACTTACGAGAAGCCGTGGACAGCAAACGCAAAGCCGAGCTGGAGAAACTGAAGCGCACTGTGAAAGGTCTGATAAACAGGTAAGGTGCAATGGAAGGTATAGACTACGTAAATGCACAATTTGAAGAAGCTTTCTTTTTAAAGATCCGTATGATAACCCTGTCCTTTGTTTTGCAGGTTGAGTCAGCCCAACATGGCATCTATCAGCAGTCAGTTGGAAGAGCTGTACATGAGCACCAGCAGGAAGGACATGAACGATACACTCACTGACATTCTGCTGGCTGCCTGCGTCACACCTGCTCTCATGCCTGAAAGGTTACCCTTTCAATAATGACTTCATTTAATAACCCAGTCTTTGATAATCAGTTTACGGTTTCATTTGATTATGTTTACATGAGAAAGCCAACACACTGATATTCTATTTTAAATGAATATTCTTCTTCTGAGATGAAAGGCCCTAGGGCATTCAAGAGATATCCACCAAATTAGGGTCAGACCTTCAAACTGTTTTGACTTATGGCTGTAATGCACTACACAAATTTTGCCCTGATTTGCAGTCTGGACGGTGGATGTGTAAATGCTAGTTGCTGAAAGTCAGAGCCAGTCTTCAGATTTTGGCCAGGCTGAGTGTACAGGTTTCGCAGAGTGTAGTGTATTTTTTTTAAGCTTCAGACTATGATTCTATCTAATCAGTGGATATGAAACATGTTGAAATATGAAACAGGTGATTTTAGAACACGTATTGTTTATATTTGTCACACATCTCCTAGCAATTCATGTAGTGCATTGTGGCCTTCAGTGTGCTATAATTTGGAATGTCATAGCAATCAGCCAGAACACCCTGGTAACCATCTTGCGACATCCTAGTGACCACATGGTCACTACCTGGCAGTCACCCAGAATGCCTTAGCTACATTTTCTTGAGCACCCTAGCAACTGCATAGCAGCTACCTAGCAACCATGTGGCAAAACCTTAGCAACAGCCACGCAACCACCCAGTACAGCACTGAATATCTTTTAAAACTACTTTAAATGTTCTAGCTAGGCTCTCTTAAGCCAACATCAAAGTTTGTCTTTACTGTTTCCTGGCTCACTTAAATACACACTTAATAAATTAAATATGAATTTAAAACAACACACTAATAAATCATTGTAAATTATTTTAATTATCACTGACTCTCTGTTCCAGGCTTCTCATGGAGCACATCCTTCTTGTCAGTGTCCTTCACTTTAGTGTTGGCCTGGAGGTATCTAATATATTTTACTTCACCTTACACTTGTCATCATGGCAATATAGTCCACACTCATTCACTCACTGTTGTTTTCAGTGGTATAATGTTATAAGAATCTTTATTATAGTGTGTAGATTTGGTTGACGCTGGCTAATTTCTTACTTTCTCTCCTGGTTTCCCTGAGGTTGGAGCTCATTTTCTGGAGACTGTAGTCCGTCAGTTTGATAAAACCTACAGTCAACTTGATGCTACAGACAAAGAATGTGACAACTTGATGTCCATAATTGCCCACCTCTACAACTTCCATGTGGTCCATGCTCTCCTGGTGTTTGACATTCTGAAGAAGCTGGTGACACGTTTCAGTGCAAAGGATGTAGAACTGGTTCTGCTGGTGCTGAAGAACGTTGGGTTCGCTCTGAGAAAGGATGACCCACTAGCTCTTAAGGAGCTGATCTCCGAGGCTCAGCGGAAAGCCAATGCTGAAGGAGAGCGTTTTCAAGACCAAACGAGGGTAAGACACCTGTCTTCTAGTGCTTAGGAGTTATCATATTATATTTGCTTTTAATCATTTATTAGACTCATTAATCCAAAGCAAATTACAAATGAGGACAACTGAGGTGAATCTCAAATGAGGTCATATGCTGCAGTTGGTCTCAAGTGAAAACATTTGTTATGTTGACTTGCTTGTCAGATTCGGTTTATGTTGGAGACTATGCTGGCGCTGAAGAACAATGACATGAGGAAGATTCCAGGTTATGACCCTGAACCTGTGGAGAAGTTAAGGAAACTTCAGAGGACTTTGGTGAGAAAATGACTGATGTTAATTTGCATTACTTATGTAATTTTCACTGTTACATTTATAAGGTGGACTAGCAATGCAAAAATGCTTAGAGTTGGTAACTAGTTTATATCCACCTGTATTATCAACAATAGTAAAATAAATATTTGGTATTGTTGGCGCTAAATGTACTTCTCGCTCTGTCCACCAGGGGTCAGACTAACTTCATAGTTTGGTGTGGTTACATTGCTCTGACTTTTGAACAGTATTTTTTTTTAGAAAAACGTGGAATGTGTTTGCAGTCGGTTATCTTGTTTCTCATGCACTAAACATAACATTCTTAACAGATTCACAGCAGTGCTGGAGGAAGTGACATGAAGTTAAGAGTCTCACTAGATAATCTTCTGGAAGCTGAGAGTGTTGGCCGTTGGTGGATTGTAGGATCTTCCTGGAGTGGAGCACCAATGATCGATGACCATGGAAACAAGACAACCACCCCATCCACCAAAGGGGAACAAGTATGTGAAAAAGAAAAACTACAAAAAAAAATTGTTTTTGCTTATTTAGAAATGTTTTCATCAGTCATTTAAATGCTCAGCTGCATAATTATTATATATTAACTTTATGAGAGTCAAGGTCTATGCAAAAATTGTCATCTGAAATGTTTTATTTCTCTTTATGAATTTGCAGTACAGTGCAACGATCTTGGAGCTTGCACACAAACAAAGAATGAACACTGACATCAGGAGGAACATTTTCTGTGTGCTTATGTCAAGTGAAGACTATTTGGATGCCTTTGAGAAACTTTTAAGGTTTGTCAGCATAGGTTCGGTTTCTTATCCTCATTGATTTTCAATGACACTGGCCATGTTGCCATTTTGGGATACTTAGCAATTGACACATTTAATTGCAAATTAGGTTTTGATCACAGTGTCATGTAATCCCAGAATCAATCTGAAACGTGGCACTTGTATTTACTTGTGAGAAAGAATTGTATAAAATGATTTTAAAAAAACAGATTAACAGATCTGCCTTATTAGTAGGACACAGTTTCTTTTAGCAACAATAATATTGCAGATCTTCTGAAATGATAACCTTGTGTGATGATGGCAAATATTTTAATTAAGGTTATCACACAAAGTTTTCTTTCAATTTCTTGCTAACAGACTGATTTCCTCCTGTGTATTTCAAACATGATGTTCTATGTTTGTAATATTTGTCATAAACCATTATTTACCCAATTCATGTCTTTCTCAGGTTAGGATTGAAAGACCAGCAAGAGCGGGAAATTGTTCACGTTCTGATGGACTGCTGTCTGCAAGAGAAAATTACTTGTGAGAAAGAATTGTATAAAATGATTAAAAAAGAAACAGATGAACAGATCTGCCTTATTAGTAGGATACAGTTTCTTTTAGCAACAATAATATTGCAGATCTTCTGAAATGATAACCTTGTGTGATGATGGCAAATATTTTAATTAAGGTTATCACACAAAATTTTCTTTCAATTTCTTGCTAACAGACTGATTTCCTCCTGTGTATTTCAAACATGATGTTCTATGTTTGTAATATTTGTCATAAACCATTATTTACCCAATTCATGTCTTTCTCAGGTTAGGATTGAAAGACCAGCAAGAGCGGGAAATTGTTCACGTTCTGATGGACTGCTGTCTGCAAGAGAAAATGTTCAATAGATTCTATGCGGTTCTGGCAGAGACATTTAGCTCGCATGACCGGCGGTTCCAGGTAGAGTGGAAGAGCAGTGATTCCTAGCTCTCACTGTGTTAGAAGTGTGCTTGTGTCACTGGTTTCACTGCATTAGGAGCTGCTGTCTTGTTTGTATGTCTAACTTGTTTACACAAAACTGTTGCTCAAGCTAATAACATTCAGATGATTTTCAGTATTTTGATCCAATAGTCAAATTAGCTAAAATTACTGTTGATATTATGATTTAATATTACTCTGTCGTGTGCAATATGATTATAAGATCAGCTGTATGATTTTTAATATTCAAATCAATGAATACTGATAATATCAGTCCATTTTAATAGTCAGATATAAGATAAGCTATACGCTTTGTAATATTCAAATCAATTAATACTGATAATAGTCAGTCCGTTTACATCTAATTCTGCAGCATATTAAATTAAATTATTAAATTTATGCATTTAGCTGACGCTTTTATCCAAAGCGACTTACAGTGCATTCAGGCTATACATTTTTTATCAGTATGTGATATATATATAGCATATAATACCTAGTAGCTTGTAGCTGTTTACTATAAGTGAATTACAATTAAACATTCATCCATTTTGTAAAAGTAAACCCTCTCTGCTTTTCTTCTGTGCTTTAGATGACCTTTCAGTTTAGTCTGTGGGACAAGTTCAAAGACCTGGCAAACCTTTCCAGTAGGTCCTTCAGTAACCTGGTCCAGCTGGTCACTCATCTTTTACACAGGAAGTGTCTCTCTCTTTCCATTCTTAAGGTAATGTTTGGTAACGTTCACCCCTCCCCAAGAAGCCATTCTAGAATGCATGAGTGGTTTGTATGTAATGTTGTAGTATATATGTGTAATATTCTTCATCCTCTTTATGAATCACTTACAAATGACTTAAAGAATGCCAGCTTAATTTTCTGCCTGTTCTCGTCTTTTCATAAGGCTATTGAGTTTGGAGAGCTGGATAAACCCAAAGTCAAATTTCTGAAGCAGATTCTCTCAAAACTCCTTAAAGAAACCGAGCCAGAAGATCTTGTGAATATATTTGGCAGGTGAGTATTCTTTGTACTACAAAAATGAATATTAATCATGCATATTAATATTCATAATGAATTTATTGAAGGCATAAATCTATATTTTGTAATCATGTAAGGCAAAAGTGTGATCGCTATTTAGAAATTAGTGTTGTTTCAGAGGCAATGTTCACACTGGCAGTATAAAGTAAATGAAAAAAGAAAGAGAAATTGACTTTTCTATTACGTATGGAACATTTCTTACATTATCGCTTAAATATTTATTTGTCAGTGCAAGTTTTTAAAATGACAAGATGTGCGGGACATCCTGAGACCAGATGTGCTGACATCCATCTAAAATTGCTTGTGTGTGGTCTAGTGTGTCAATATCTGCCCGTGTGTCTACCATTGTGTGCCAGGATCTCTGGAATTCCCAAGCTGGGAACGCTTCGGGAAGGCTTGAAGCTTTTCATCAGTCACTTTCTGCTCCGGAACATCCAGACACAAGAAACTGAGCAAGCCAAGGTACTCAGGGATAGAGCTGAGGTTGCCACTAAAGCCATGGAGGCCCGGGATGCCAAAATTAAGCTATAGAGCTGTTGCACACAGAAATGTGTGTGTAATGCATCAGACTCAAAAAATGAGTATTACTTCAGGGGGCAATATGCAAACCTGTATGCAGACCTTACGACACATGCAGATCACTGACATGTTTCTGCATTTTTGTATTAATTCTGTACAAAAATAAAAGGTAAAATATGTAAAGTATATATACGTTTTAGTGTGTTTTAAAGAATTGCATACTACAAAAGCTCAATGGTCAGTTTTTTCTGCTCTGTGTTTTTTATGGTAAGATGTCAACAGATCTTAGATTTGGAATTTGGATATTTGACATTTTGTACTTTTTATTGACCTTCTTATGAGAAAGAAAAATATAACAGTGTGTTATGCATACATATTTGGTCTTATTATAATGTGTATTATAGTACACGTTATACTTATTATAATAGAAAATCACAATGGCCTGCTTCATAGTAATTCTTAGTGTTTTTTTTTTTTATCCAGAGACATGTCCCAAGCAGATAAAGAAAATAACATAATTCATTCTTCTGCTGCTCATTAATTTCCAATGCACATATGTTCAGTATCTGTTCTGGAAACAAACAATACTGTATTAACTTCATTCAGAAAAGAGCACAAACATGCATTGCTTTATTCATCATGAAATGTAGGTTCATTGCAGTTGTCTGAAGCATCTGCACATGCAGCAGTACTCCGGACACGACTGACTAGCATAACATAGCAGAGGGCTACCGTTACATTTGATGCCCTTTGTTAATTCATTAGCAACATAGGCATTAATGACATCGATCCACAGCATGGAGTGATCAGAGCATGAGCTACCATCATATGGGGTCAGACAGCTTAAACATCACCCTCGCAGCTCTACAACAAAAGAGCTAACTGTTTCATTATATCTGATTAATTAAACCTTATCACATCCTGTGGTGGCAGCTCAAACAGGCTGTCACATTACAGCCTGTAATAAATACACAACAGTCTGGCTGTTTTTTTTCTAACAGTTTGAAAGCTGGAAAAATTAGGGTTACCTACAGATGGCCCACTTTTCCACCCTTTGACAAAGACAACATTGTCACAATATGTGAGGAGAAGCGTATAATAGGGGTCGAGCCCACTAAGATACACACAGGTGATTGTAAATAGTGTGTGCTATTGTCTGTCTGTGTCAGACCAGAGGAAGTTTGATACTGACCCTAGTTTGAACTGGAAATAGGAAACTAAGTTGCCTTTGAACTGATAAGACCACAGTTAAAATACTGTTTGTGAGGATATTACATGTTTTGTGCAAAGGACTAAATATGAGAAATGTGATAGCGTTCATGTTTTAAAAATTCACCATTATTGGCTTGTTCTTTTATGTTTCACTTCAAACGTTTCATGTGCATAAGGTCATACGAAACACTTGCACTGGCCCCTACTGACAAATCACATGGCGCATAATTCGAACATATCTATATTTATTTGGTTGATTATGCATTTATTATACGTTTTGTCTCACCATTCACGGTCTCCCACCCTGCTCACTTGTGTGTGGTTTTCTTTCCTGATCGTTAGAGGGTGGTAGTAGCACTGATAAGGATGGGTTCTTTGTACTTATGCAGCTGGGTAAACGTACAGGTAGAGTAAATTAGTCCTTAGTTAAATCAGTAACTAATGTTTCCTAAATTGACTACCACCTGTTCAACGCCAGATTAATTGTGTATTTGATTAAATCATTGTTTACTGTTGTCCAAGAGTATTTTTGGATAATTGAAGCTTAGATGGTCTCATAACATTAATCGTAATATGTTATAGCTGCATTAAACTGAACCCATTTCAACGTTTGAATAATATTTTGTTAATTTGCCCCTCTAGGAAATTTCGGTGTCTGTATAAAATGCTAGCCTCTTGTTTGACTACCCCACTAGCATTTTAGAACCCAAGAGTAATGCAAGGTTAATTCATTAGCCTTGATTTTTAGTTTCTGCATGCATCGCTTAGTCGCATTGTAGGGCTGGTAAACTCTGTTTTAGAGTTATGAAAGGGGAGTTCATTGTAGAGAGTTAATTCACCAAAATCCACAGCTTATTATGCTAAATGTGTTTTGGACTAAATTATTATTTTCCACTGAGAATATGGCTTAAAGTGAAAAACAAAGAACATTTCAGATCACATTCAGTGTCCAAGTAGATAGCCGTCATGGCCCTGGACTGATAGGAGTGGATAGTGATTATATTTAAATGTCCTCTAATTGATTCGAAGAAGCTCCTTGGCAAAGACCAGATGGATCTCTGGGTTTATTACCCAATAAAGCATGTCGTTATTAATAAAGGAGGAAATGCACTTAGGTTCTTGGTCTTCTGCACTTCCCGAGTAAGTTTGACTGCGCCTGGCCTGCAGAATTTAAAAACAGAGCGTGTATATTGTGTACGACACAGCAAAAATTTAATTAGTGTTTTATAAAACTCTAAATTTTTTTCCACAACATTTTTATTATAAAAATAAAGATTCTAGTTAGATTCCAAAATAAGCTAAATAAAGACTCCAGTGAGTACCAAATATGTGTTTTTACATTTTGAAACCTTTGAAGTTCTACATAGATACAAAGATTTTTTTATTCTCCAATTCCTTAGAAAATTACAAAAAAATTTAATTTTTTTGTAATTACAATTACAAAAAAATAATTT